AGATAGATAGATAGATAGATAGATAGATAGATAGATAGATAGATAGATAGATAGATAGATATAACAATTTTGTTCAGCCTGTGAAGGGATCGAGGATATGCCATATCAGTCCGCGTTAAACTACCGTAAAATTCTCGACTCTGCTCGCAGGTTGTAGGTATACTAAAACAGGGGAGAAATCCCCTCTGCAGAGGATCAAAATTGTGATGACCCATTTTCAGATCATCCTCAGGAATGCCTCCAATACCCCATTCCGTAGCTCTCGTGCGACGTAAATAAACTGGTACTTTTAACAGCAACTATTGAAGGTAATAAATTACTCTTAAAAACCAATGTAAAACATGTTTACAAAAAGCATGCGAAACTATTTTCTAGGAACTACTTGTTATTCTTCCTATTTAATATATAAATTATAGAATCTGTTTTAAATTGTAATGCTGCACCATAGCAATACCATCGTAATTTTTTTTTCTATCTCTTTGTTTTCAATTTCGTCATCTAAAATAAGCGCAGTCCACAGTGGACTGATCTTAAAGATACGGTTCTCAGTAGAACACCGACTATCACTGTATCACTGGCTGCAGTCAGTAAGCGGATGGGTGACCGCTTTGATCAGCCTGTATAGGGACCGAGGGTGTGCTGTATCGATCCTCGCTAAACTGTTCTACCGTAAAGTGCTCGACTTCACGCACAGGCTGTCGAGCTTCCAAGGCAGGGGAGCCATTCCCTCTGCAGAGGATCCAAATTGTAATTGCATGTCTTTGGATCATCCTCTGGGATAGCTCCCAGATCTTCGTCAATAGCCCATTGTACAGCTCTATTGCGACGTAAATAAAGTACCCACCTGTCAACGCAAAGCAAGTATTTTCGCTGCAGTAGAAAATTATTATTCAGCCTCATTTTTTGTAGCGTGTTCGATACCAGCTGCAGTTATTGATGCATCTCTGTGATTCCCTTTTTAAAATGCACGCTATCCTTTCTTTAATGTGTTATCATCGTTCTTATAAGTCATTCGAACTCGTAAACCTGAAGATTTATAAGCAAATAATATATAATCATGTAATTAATGTAGCATCTGATGATTAGAAGGCCGACATAGTCAAGAGATCAATGTCTTAGAGTGCCGCAATTAAGGTAGTATATTATCGTGCTTAAATCACTGAGCATCATCAGCCAAGGAATATTTAAAAGCGATTTGCTTACAAGCATGTAGTAAAACTTTTTTTTTCTATTTCCAATGGCAGACATGAAAGACAAATTTATAGCTGAGAGCAATACAAAGAAAAAACAAAAAACAGAAACAAGAGCAGCAAAAAGAAAGAGTCTATAGGTCTTTAATAATGTATCTTGCCCGCCAATAACGTTCCTACAAGGGCCCAGGAGGAAGTGCAGGGCAACGTCTCAAATGGTTAGCGTCCATTTCTTCTTGCAGGTTACATAATGGACAAAAGGGGCTTGAAAAGATTTTGATTCTGTACAGGTGTTTTGATAAACAGTCATGGCCAGTGGCAAGGCGGAAAAGGGCGACAGATTTTTCTCTTGGCCATGACGGAATATCTTTAATTCCTTCCAGCCGGCCCTTATCTTTATTTGCCTCTTGGAGTTTTGCCTCAAATGTTGTTCGAAGAGAGATTTTTATTAGCCTTTTTGCGGTGTAGAAAGGAACTGGCTCAAAAGATATTTGTAGAATCTTGGCGACTTTTTTGGCCAAGAAATTTGCCGTTTCGTTACCTTGAAGTCCACAGTGCGCTGGTACCCATTGCACGGCGACATTTTTGTTGTTGTTACAAAAAGTGGTAAAAGTAAAAGTGGTATATGAAAAACTGAGGGTTGACATAGTCGAGATTCCAAGGTCATGTAAGATTGCAGATTATTGTTTCTATGTTACTGAGTTGCGAAAATAATATAATCGAATAATATATAAGAACTAATATGAAGTTTGATATGCTTCTTTAAAACGACTGAGAAATTGACACATTGACTGAAGAACGGCCGACGTTATTAAACTCGATTTTTCAGTTTAATTAAATGTTTATTGCATGTATGCACCTTCGACTAAATACTCTGTTGATTGTTATTTATTTATTGGTGCACATACATATTGGCTTGTGAGCTCAATTAGTAAGCTTAGTGAGCTCAATTAGCTCATTAGTTGTTAGCTCATAAGTAAGGTTTAAAAACCTGTGTCAAGTCGAAAGACAGACATTACATTTCTGAGAAGGACTGTACAAAGATTCATCCAAGATTACGACAGGATTCGAACCCGCTACCCCCGCGATTCTCCCCAGTTGATGTAGATAGATATTGTTAGGTATTTTATTTACGTCGCACTAGAGTTGCACAATGAACTATTGGCAACAGTCTGGAAAACATCCCTGAGGATTATTTGCAGACATACCATCACACTTTTGATCCCGTCCCGCAGTGGACTGACCGTTTAGACACGGTTCCCAGCAGATCACCGAAGTCAAGCAGTTTCTGCGCATTTTCCAAAGCAGTTCCTGCGCATTTTCCGAAGTTTCTGCGCATTTTCCAAATTCTTTAACAACATATTTAATTTATTTTCAGAATATACTAAATTAATGATATGCTCTCTTCTACAATTGCTTGGTAATAATTTTAAAGATTATTATAAGAGATTATGTTTATTGTCTGATATAAAAGTATATCTACTACGTGTTTATAGATATAGATATTTGCATTTTTTTAAGTGTGTGTATTGATATCAATGTGTAACGTGTATATTTGCGTGTTACGTGTTTATTGATATCTACGTGCAACGTGCATATCTGCGTGCTAAGTACTTATATCTACGTGTTAATTTTTAGTAGTAAAAGATAATGAAAATTAAATTTTTTTTTGAAGTTGTGTTTGTGATGTCCGAAATCATAAATTCCTTTTCACTTCATTTTCTGAGTATGTGACTTATAGTATTATGTTATTGATTCTTAAAATGATTTCAAAATTTTTCAAAAATGTTTATTTTTCTCAGTAGAAAAATTTACTCTTCTTTTGCCGAAAATATTTTTCATCCGAAACCATTATATACAAAAAATATATCTTTACTTTTGTTTGAAATATATACAACAAAAAAATAACAGGTTCTTTTTAGGCATTATTGAAAAACTCAATGAATAAATGTATTAAGAAATACATGTTTTTGTAATATGCTTACAGAGTGTTCTGATATCATAATCCTGTTTTACTTTGTATAAACCAATATTTTTGTTGTAAATTAAGGAAAAATCAGGAATATTTCATAAAGTAAAAATAAACTCTTTGAAAAATATTTTGGCAACACTTTTTTAGGAGCTGAAAGTATGAATTTCACTGCAGTTATTCATAAATAACAATTGCAAAGCCCAACGGTTGCAAAAGCAACCCATGAAAAGTATAGTTTTTNGTGTTAACATGTCTTATATACTAGTGAATTGGAATTGTATTTTTGTAGTGATCGACGCACTACAAACAGTTTAACGAGGACCGATACCGTGCACCCTCGGTCCCTACGTAGGC